GCCACGATTTAAAATATATACTTAAGATATCTTAAACCATGACCCACACTTTCAATTAAAATAAAGTAAAATGAAAAATTTAAGCCACACTATTGCGGTGTCTGCAGTCTGCAGTTGCCAGTAAGTTGGTCTCGACGAGTCATTCTGAGACAACGCAAGCGCCCCTCTCTGCAATTTTACTGCGGAAAGAGTGGGCATGTGGGTCGATAATATTCCGCCTGTAGCAATATTGCACGCACTACACACACTACAATAATGATCACCCGCAATACACTATAGTCAATTCCCGTTCTATAACAATTATTATTTTAAATGCTCATACTCAAACACGCAATACTATTTCCCGAAGTATAATTTCATATTGCTGTAACGCTGTTCAATATCAATAAATGTATCAAGGGGATTTACCCCAACTGCAGTAGTGTAGGAATAATAGACTCTCACAAATTTTTTATAATACATCCTGTGTTACAACTTACAATACTATGACAAAGCTGATTTTAGAAAAGAAGAAGAAGAAGTGTTACAATGTTTTGTTATCAGATGTATTTTCATAACTTACTGTTCTCAGTAATGTAGAGATATTGTACCAAAGAATGTAAAGGTACCTATTACCTACTACCTAGACCCTAAGTAGCTTAGATTATTTTAAATATATAAATACACCTAATAGTTAGTATACAAAATATTAATAAAAATCATTTGCCACACTTAGGTTAAGTTTTTTTTCTAAATTTATGTTTTGTATTACCTATTCAAATTCAAATAAATAATATTAAGAAGATTTAATTCCGATCGTTTTAAAGGAGTTCGATACCAGATTTTTACTTTATGTGTGTGCGTGTCGTATAAATATATATGCGTAATAATAACTAATCATTATATGTATACTGTAATATTATAGTGTGCACTGTGCGTGACTGTAGTGTGAAGAAAATACACTCCGCATTCCCATACATGTACACATAATATCATGTCGACAACGTGTCTTATTCGTGCGCTATCTGAATGATATATATTTTTTTTGTCTAAAAATATCAACTTTTTGCCATCTTAATTGATGAAATCAGATATTCGACAAAAGTACAACTTTTATCCTCGAAATTTGACAATTTTTTCAAAATTTTAACTTAAAACTTAAATATTATTTTAATTTTTTTATTTGTGCCTTTTAGAACAGATACTTAGACTTTTTCAGCAGCATCTTTTCTGGTAGGAAAATGAATCTAGTTGGTAGTTTCAGCGGTTTCAAATTTTCCCAATAGTTTTCAAAAGTGTCAGGAAAACAAACAACAAACATTAAGGAAAACCTTAGATTTTATGCCAAACTTGCTTACGAAAAAAATTAAATTTTATTTTTTTAGTGCAACTCTAAAAAAATTAATTTTTACTGAATGTTTGTATTAGAAATTGCAGCTATACCCTATACACTATAAAAATTATCAAAATATTCTAATTATTTTTTAGCTATCCGAGATATATTAGGTTTTTTTAAAAATTGTTTCGCTCAATTGGCTTCATTTGGTGTTTATTAAAATCATAAAAGCTTACCTCTTCGTCAACAAATAAGCTTTCCTCTTCAGAATATACATCTGTCTGCTTGACGGAACTGTCGATCCATGAATTCACTTTATCTGCTACATCTTTTGGACATTTGGACTCAGAAAACGCATCTTCATTTAAATCATTAACGACTGCTTCTTTTTGCGCAGTTTCTATATCTTTGCAAGCAGCAATAGAACTTTTTTCATTATTATCGTTTTCAATGTTTTCATCATCTACGTTATTGTCTTCCTCTCCAGCAAAGTCTTCTTCATTGGTATCTTTTTCAGAATTAATAACTGTAGTTGCAGCTTCGTTTGCTTTTTTTTGATTGTCTATCAACATGGAATTAGCAACAAGCGTGAATCGCAATCCTGAACTGACATTGAATAGACGTGGTTTCTTTTTCTTTACCTTACATTTTTCAAATACGTTCCGAAAACCTTGGAATTTTTTTTCAATATCTTCAACTGTGTCCTCTTCCAGTACACTACCATCGCCTATTTTAGCACCGACTTCGTCTGCATGCATAGAAGGAACGTACGATTCTTGAACATTAGCTTTATGACGTTGTTTTCGACGTCGGTCATTCGATCGGTAGAAAACGCGGAACAACGATTTTTGCTCACGATTATTACGGACATTGCCTGAACGTACATCGTATACACAATTCGGTTTCGGTGGACTAATACCAAGTAACTTTGTCACATAATACTTACAAGTGGCCGTCGTATCCATTGCAGATATATGCTATTATACAAACACATTGTCGATTACTAAATTTCTTATATCATGAACACAATCAATGATATAATATAAAACTATTCCTATTTTCATTAACACGAACGCATAGTAAGTTCACACGCAAACACACACATACTAAATTTAAATGTGTGGTATGTATGGTGGATAAGGAGGATAAGGCATTCGTGCGAACATTTGTGCAAACAAATGTGCGATGAGGGGACATAAATAATCGCACAATTACACCAGTTTTTAATGTATACACTATATTTTAGAGGCCCTGTTTATCGCTTTGAGACCAATATATTCAAAATTTATTTTATATACTATAATATTATAGCTTTTTTAGAAGTAAGTAGGTCAAATGCCTACAACAATAAGAAAAAAATAAAACATTTAATAACATTTGTTATTTAAATTTAAAATTTAGAGTGATAACATTAAACTACCATAAATTAATGATAAATGGTAATAATATTGCAATGTTTTATTACTTAATACCCGTACAAATAAATGTTTTTTTTTTCAAAGTATTTGAGAGTTGGTTGACATAAGTACTATGTTCAAAATAAGATTGTAGTAACCAGCCAACTTGTGTGCAGGAACGTGGCTTCACTACATTGAATTGTCAGGAAGATAGACAAGCATAATTGCTCGACTACTAGGTACTGACAAAAACCGGTCTGTGTAATAAATGTTTTATTTTGAATTGAGTAAGTATACAAAATATATTATTATACAACTATGAAGCTCTTACTACAGTCTACTGAATTAAGTATTTATAATTCACATGATATTGTTATAGATATCCATTAATAATAATTCCTAATTAATTTATTCCTAATTAGTCTTATAATATTTAAAAAAAAATTGTAATTTCTCACTACAACAAAGCTTTCTCCACCTGTTATTTAAAAATGTGATACAGTTAATGAAAAAATCATTGAAATGTTTATTTATAAAATAAATAGTGAAACAATTACGACATTAAAAGAAAAATAACTGCGGTCTGAAATATACTTTACAAAACTGCATTATCACAGCAACTAGAAAAATTAAAAATGTTAATTTTCAAAATTAAAAGTTTTTAGTTATTGTTACTGCAATATTCACATAAGCAGTTTAGAATTTAA